TAACTGGATCAATTCAGATAAGTTCAAACATGATGTTACACTTTTATGTCACTCGGTTGCATTGGACATCATTTCTAAATACCTGTGGTTTATTGTTATTGAATTGTGTTATTAAAAGGGCATGAATGTTCCTTGATACCTTCTTTCTTAAACCTTCTATTTTGGGGTTGATTCTTAATGTTCTTCTTAAAATTCGACATTGAATTCGAAGGTCGACGTTCATTCAAAACTTTACACGGCATTCCGCTATTTTTTCAAGTTTAAGCTCCTAAAACCGTACCCTTACTCTAAAATATCCGTAGAATAACTCGTAAAAAATATTCTATGATAACTAGAATTTGTGTTGATTGATAAATCAAGCCAGAAAATTATCGTAGTAAAAATATTTTGACCTTTTTATCCTTCATCTATCCGCCTTCAAACTCGGCACCATTTGAAAATCAAAGAGCTGGATGGAACGTGACGTCACTAATGGAAACAACACTTTTCCTGTCATTTGCCTAGAGACACCCCCTCCTTCCTGGCTATAATAAGTTATAGCTACAAGTAGCGAAATGCACCAGCTTTGAAAACCAACACATTAAATTTAACTTTAATTCAAAACCAGTTGGAGTTGACTAAAACATTTTGTCCTCTCGCCCCCATGGCCTATAAATAGCCCATTTGTTGGGAGGACTAATTGCAAATTACTGGACTTGCAAGACATAGACTGTTCGATCTTATAAATGTGACCAGAGGAAAAACTTGTAAAAATATTCGACTTGCTTTAAGAAGTTTCTAGATGAATATTACATTTCTTGTTGCATTTAGACCATTACACTGTTATTTTTTTGTACTGAGAATTACTGTTCTTGGAATTAGAAGGTGCTAAAAGGCCCTTTTACCTTAAAAGGTTTTTAGTTCTTCTAAAAGCAGACGTTATATATTTCGAAGGAGGAAATCTCCTGGAGCAGGCCAATTAGAATTGACATGAGTATTGGATGTACTGCTTAAGAGGCTGTCCGCGTAAGAACGGATAAGGCAAAATTTGACCCATCACCGATTTTCCTGATTTTCTTAGTAAAAGTCCACTATTATATGCAATGAACAATTATCACATTTATTTGGATCAATTCGGATTTTTAGGTACTTTATGAGAC